AGCCGGATATCTGGGAGACAGATGGGCCAAACGACTGTTGGTTGCCCTGACTGGCCGAAGAAGAACATGACAAACGATCATTATTATCTGTCATTGGTAAATATACAGGTCAAATACAAAGCATTAAGAACATAATCACTAGCAGACCATTTGGAAGAATTTTACATAAGAGACGAGCGTGGGCGATGTAGATACAAGCATCCATCAAACAATTCACCCTAAATTTTTGCTTGTATTCGTTCCTTCCCTTCTTGGGTCTCTTCAAATAGTTCACTTGACTTCCATTTTAAGTTTCATATAGTTCGCTTAACTTACAGGTTAGAGTTGGTCTCTACGCCAATTGGCGCAACGGGTCATCTAGTATGGATATATTATGATTATATAGATAGATTATGATGAAAGAACAGGAAAGAGAAAGAAAATGAAAATAAAATAACAAAATAAAACAACTTACTATGTAGTAAATAAAAAATTGGTTCACTTTTTGTAAACATGTAAATGTAAGATGATATATATGGATGATAAAATCAGTATGGAAATGCTTGTGATAATAACATAACTAACTAACTAAAAAGGTATTAAGAACCGAATGATTCTTACTAGGTAGTATGGAAATGATTTCTCACTCTAAACAGGCTACGGTACAGATTTCATCACACCTTTAGTACACCTACCCGATGTACGCGGGTGAGCTCGCCATATTTAGGTGAGTGTGCAGCTTAGCATATATTCCAAATTTACGTGTGATGTTGATTCTCTGGTTTCTTGCTTTTAATTTTTTGTCTCCTGCAGTGATTTGTCTAACGATATCCCTGTCGATGGTCCATTCTGAAACAGTTTACAAGATTCTGGTTGAAATTCAGGCTAGGCTGCACTCCTCTCGTGGTCAGGCTATAGTACATCAAATATGGACGGGATTGGTTGTGGCGTAGCTAGGGGTGGACAGAGCGATTCATGGATCATCCTAGAAGTTCCTCATGTCTAATTGGTAGCCTCATGTCTAAAAACTTTTATATAAATAAATAAGATTAGATGAACATTTCTATTATTTGATTGGACCACCCTTGCCTGTTGGGCTGGCTATGTCATAGGGAATAGGGTGAGGGAGGGATGGCCAGGGAGGAACGGACATGGGGTGTGGGGAATACGTTCGAAAATGGGGATGGGGAGTAACGAGTAGCATGTTGACGATTCAGTGAGGGAGAAGGCCAGGATACCGGAGGCAATGACAGAAACAGGTGAGAAAGAGGAGGACGGTGGGAGAAGACGATACATCCAAAAGTTGTCTAGAAGCTCTCCTTGACATCCATCCTCCAGCCAGCAGCAGCTGATGACATGGCCATGGCTAGCAACAGTATGACAATACTGTTGGAAATATGCCCCAGAGGCAATAATAAAGTGGTTATTGTTATACTTACTTATTCATGATAAAGGTTTATTATTCATACTAGAATTGTATTGACCAGAAAATTAAATACATGTATGGATACATAAACAAATACCGTGTCCCTAGTGAGCCTCTACTAGAATAGCTCGTTAATCAAAAGATGGTTAAGGTTTCCTAACCATAGACATGTGTTGTCACTTGATAACAGGATCACGTCATTAGGAGAATGTTGTGATGGACAAGACCCATCCGTTAGCTTAGCATATGATCATTCAGTTTATTGCTAATGCTTTCTTAATGTCAAATGCGTATTCCTTCGATCATGAGATCATGCAACTCCCGGATACCGGAGGAATACCTTGTGTGCTATCAAACGTTACAACATAACTGGATGATCATAAAGATGCTCTACAGGTATCTCCGAAGGTGTCTATTGAGTTGGCATGGATTGAGATTGGGATTTGTCACTCCGTATGATGGAGAGGTATCTCTGGGCCCTCTCAGTAATACAGCATCACAAGAAGCTTGCAAGCAAAGTGATTAAGGAGTTAGTTACGAGATGATGTATTACGAAACGAGTAGAGAGACTTGTCGGTAACAAGATTGAACTACGTATGAAGATACCGACGATCGAATCTCGGGCAAGTAACATACCGACAGACAAAGGGAACTACGTATGTTGTCATAAAGGTTCGACCGATAAAGATCTTCGAGAATATGTAGGAACCAATATGGGCATCCAGGTCCCGCTATTGGTTATTGACCGGAGAAGTGTCTCGGTCATGTCTACATCATTCTCAAACCCGTAGGGTCCGCACGCTTAACGTTCGTTGACGATATAGTATTATATGAGTTATGTGATTTGGTGACCGAATGTTGTTCGGAGTCCCGGATGAGATCACAAACATGACGAGGGGTCTCGAAATGGTCGAGATGTAAAGATTGGTATATAGGACGATGGTATTCGGGCACCGAAAGTGTTCCGGATGGTACCGGGTACTTATCGGGTCACCGGAAAGGAGTTTCGGGCACCCCCGGCAAAGATATGGGCCTTATGGGCCAAGTGAGGGAACACACCAGCCCTGGGTCGCCCCTATAGAGGCCGAATATTGTTCGGAGTCCCAGATGAGATCATGGAGATGACGAGGAGCTCCGGAATGGTCCGGAGGTAAAGATTGATATATAGGACGATACTATTTGGTCTCTGAAAAGGTTTCGGAATGCATCGGGTATTTATCGGATCACCGGAAGGGGTTCCGAGAAGGCCACAGGGAGTTACTGGGCTTATTGGGCCCCACCTCTAGGCCGCTGGCCCTTAGGGAAGGAAAGGGGGGAGGGCTAGCCCCTCCTGCCTTCCCTTCCACATGAGAGAAAGGAAGGGGGGGCTCCCCCCTGCCTTCTCCCCAGCGCCAAGAAAGAAAGGGGGGCGCGGCCAAGGCAGGAGCCCAAGGCGGCCGCCGGCCCTCTTGGGGGTGCCCTAGGCTGCCTCCCCTCCTCCCGCCCACCTATATATATGAGAGGAGGGAGAGGGGCAATACAAACCACGATCCCCAAGCCTATGCGGCGCCCCGTCTCCCTCTAGTTCTAGTTCCTCCTCCGCCCACGTCCGTTGTGCTTGGCGAAGCTCCGCGGATAGTTTCACCACCTCTGTCACCAAGCCGTTGTGCTACCGAAACTCATCTACTACTTCGCCTCTCTTGCTGGATCAAGAAGGCGAGGACGTCATCGAGCTGAACGTTGTGCTGAACGCGTGCCGTACATTCGGTACTTGATCGAGACGGATCGTGAAAGTCTACGACTACATCAACCGCGTTGATAAACGCTTCCGCTTAGAGATCTTCAAGGATATGTAGATGCTCTCCCCCTCTCATTGCTATGCATCTTCATGGATAGATCTTGCGTGTGCGTAATTTTTTTTTGTTTTCCTTGCATACCATATTTTGTGTTAATAATAAGAGCATGCATGTCGTGCCAATTTTTGTTTCATCCGACTGCAAAAGCACGCCACACCCCTACCGCCCTACTTCGCCTTAAACCCAGTGTTCTGCCGCAGCCCAAGCTACCCACCAACCAACCTCTGCTGGAGATCTGCAGCGGCAGACCCCCGCCAGCTCTCATCCATCCCACCGGCAGTCAGGTTAGTCGTTGCAGGTGTCTCCGGCTCAGCCACCTCGACGCGCCGGCCATCGCCACCAACCCTGACATCCACTACTGCAGAACCTTGCTAAGACAACACAAATATCGCATAGCTTTGGACCGAACCGTGTGCAGTGCAAGCATCACAACCGGTAGAAAAGTAAAATCGTCACATAGAAAAAGATATGTGTGAGATGGCTGATTCATTAGGCATGATTTAGAAACGAAATGGAATGTGTGATATACTGCATATAGTTCAGTCGGCAGAACTATTTGTGATCAGCAAAAACAACACAGTCGATTCCCTACTGCAAGACGTGTGCAATATACAGCTCACAGTTCAGTGGGCTGAACTACTTGCGATAATTAAAAATAGCACAGACGATCCCGCAGCATAAGCCATGTGTTTTACGACAAGAGGTTTCAAGGAAGAAATTGGCTGCGATTGTGTTAATTTCAGGAAATTGAACAAGTAGACTCGAAAAGATCAGCACCCATTACCTTTGATTGATGAAATATTAGAATGGTTGGCAACAATTCTTATTCCTATTACCTCGATGGATATTTCAAGTTTGTCAAATAGCCATTTCACTTGAAGATCAAGTGAAAACCAGATTTACATGTCCATATGGCACGGATGCTAATCGAAGAATGCCATCAAGGCTACGATAATGGACCGCCTACTTTTCAAAAAAGCATTTCCTTTATCTTTGTCTCAATGAAGGGTGGAAGTGTTCCTAGACAATTTTCCTATCCAGGGAACTTGTTTCGATAATTTTTTGCATAACCTTGACAAAGTTTTACAGAAATGTGAAGAGACAGGTCTCGTGCTAAATTGGGAGGAGTGTCGAAGGTGTGGTTTTAGGCTCACCTTCTACTCAGAGAGTGTGTAGTGCTTGTTGCACAGGCACCTAGTATTATGTATATATGTTATATGTTGAGTTGAATTATGTATGATAAATTGCATGTAAAAAAACCTATAGACATTTACCTCCTTTTTTATTTACTCTGCATATTAGAGTTTACTGAAGTCAAACTTCGTAAAGTTTGACCAAGTTTATAGAAAACACTATAGACATTTATCATAACAAATCTATACGATGTGAAAATACATTCAATAATAAATCTAATGTTGTTGATATCCTATTGTATATGTTAATATTTTTTTTTATAAACTTCATCAAAGTTTATAAAGCTTGATTTTGACCAAAGCTAATATGCGGACTAAATAAAAATGAAGAGAGTATTACATATGAGGCATGATTGTTTGCTTATTTTTCCTTTATTTTTCCGACGTAAACAAATGTAGCTTAGCATGCTGTCGCATTTTATATCTTGACAAGCCACCGCTAAATGGCACGCCCGCTATTTAAATCTTTGGTCGCTGCAGCCAAGCAGCTGATCAACTCAGCACCTCTAGCTCGCTCTGTCGCTCACACCTTCTTCCTCTTCGCCTCTGCCTACGGCCTTCCTAGTTATGCTCCTTCTCGTTGTCGTTCCTCTGCTCGTGGTTGTCGCCACGCAGCTGTGGGACTACGCCGTCATGCGCCTCGTGTGGAGGCCGTACGCCATAAGCAAGTGGTTCAGAGAGCAAGGGATCCATGGACCCTCCTACGGGTTCTTGAATGGCTGCAACAAGGACATCAGGAGCCTCAAGGAGGAGACTGACCGTCTGGTGCTGGATGTTCGCGACCACAAGTACCTCCCGCGGATCGCGCCACACTACCTGAAATGGAGGGCGCAGTACGGTATGTCTTGTGCTTATTACACGCTTTATTAATTTGCTGAAGTTTCATTCTAGCTTCTCTTTCTTTGTTTGACCCATTTGTTTTGCCGTCGAAGTATATGTATGTATAATTGTATGCCAATTAGGCTAGTCATAGTGAGGAGTAATTTAGACTAGTAACATACATTTGTTACAACTCTATGTTACTACTCTTATAGTGTAAGTGCCATAGTAACATACATATTTTATTTATTGTCTTGTAGACCCATTTTACATTGGGAAGCGTTGTGTGGTGGTAATATCTTGTGTTACTCTATTTGCCTCACTCATTATTAAATACTTGCCACATCAACATTTTTGATTATGTGACATCTACATTACTACCTATGTTACTACCGCTATGACCACCCTTACCAAGCAAGCTACATGTATACTAGGTGAGAGTGCTCTGTATTTTTTACTTTTAAAAAAGGGTTCCTCCTCCCCCCGCTTTGTATTCCAAAGCAACCAACCGATACATCCAAGGATAGGTGCTGGGGCGGAAGCAGCACAATCACACCCAAAAGAAATGAAAGAGAAACAAGAGAAAAGAATGCCGACAACGGTGGATCGACGGAAACGAAGAAACTTCACGACCACTGCGCCCACCAAGATCTCCCACCAAGCTCCAAGGCTCCGAAGCACCGGTACCAATCAGCACCTTCAAGAAGGACCGCGACGATGACGATGCTGCTGCCAAGGGTTTCCCCCGGTCCACGACGAGGCGAGAGGAAGGGTCGCCCCTAACGCCCTCCAGGAAGGTCCGGCGGCACCCACCGGCGTCGCCGCGTCGGTGTCGGACAGGCCGACAGGGGTTTCCCCTGATCCCAACCTTCACCTCGGGTGCTCCAGAGCCTGCCACCAAACCGACCACCATCTTGCGCCACCATGGTCAAGAAGCCTCCACGCCGTCTCACCACGGCACCACGAAGTGAGGTCTGCACAACAAGGTATAGGAGCCGGGACTAAGGGTTGCCGCACCGTCGGAACGCGGGAGGGCACAACCTCCACCGTCAACGACGGTAGTCGACCGGACACAATAACAGGAGCATACCAGGCCCGGCCGGAAACTCCATGCCTGTAAAGCTCCCGCCATCG